ATCCCCGACGAATCTGATTTAGAGGCCAAGTACCCTGCCTCTGAAATAATATAAATTAAATTGTTCACATCAGTGGAAGCCAGTAAGGTTTTTCTGTCATGCAGGGACATAAGCTACCATTCTGGCACCATACGATTGATTTGACTCTCGACTTAGAAAAATAAACAACTGTTTGATTTTGAAGGTCATAGTCGAATCAAGAATTATTTGGTCATATCGTGCCTAAAAGGGAAGCTTTTTTCCCAAACCTTGAGGGAAGATCTGGTTGGCGAAGACTAAATCAATAAATTTGACAAATTGTCAGTGGGAAGTGGGAACCGCGTATTATCCGAATTTGTGGTCTAACGTCTGGCGCTTCGCTGTCGCACGCAGGAGACCCGAGTTAATTCACATGCGAGGTAAATTTTTATCGAGCATCTCGGTCTTTGATGTTGTATACCTCTCAGTTCAAATTGACTCCGACAGGCTGGGTCGAAAGCCTGCCTCCCAAATAATCTAAATTGTGTGGATAGGGGTATAATAACATGTGCATTAAAACCAGAACAAAATCTCTCAGGCATGGTGACGGCATTAGACGACGCGGTGGGCCGGCTGGTCAGTGTCCTGAAGAGGAAAAATCTGTACGAGAACACGTTGATCATCTTCACGTCTGACGTAAGTGGACATTCTGTACATAACACATGTAGTTGTAAAACACACAGAGCGTGCTGTAGAGATCTGTACATAACACATGTAGTTGTTGAGGTCTGTTATAACATATCTGGTTGTAGAGATCTGTACATAACACGTGTAGTTGTAGAGATCTGTACGTTATAATATTATGCGTAGTTGTAGAGATACGTAGTTGTAGAGATCTGTACATAACACATGTAGTTGTAGAGATCTGTTCATAACACAAGTAGTTGTGGAAATTTGTATATGTAACACACGTACTTGTAGAGAATCTGTACATAACACATGCAGTTGTAGAAATCTGTACCTAACATATGTAGTTGTAGATATGTGTACATGACACATGTACATGTAGTTGTAAAACAAATAGAGCGTGCTGTAGAGATCTGTACATAACACGTGTAGATGTAAAGATCTGTACCTAACACATGTAGTTGTAGATATGTGTACATAATATGTTTAATTGTAGAGCACATAGAGCATGCTGTAGAGCGTGTGTTCCATAATAATTATATGCAATTCTTCTTCTTCTTCTTCTTCTTCTTCTTCTTCTTCTTCTTCTTCTTCTTCTT